AGGAGGAGGAGGAGGAGGAGGAGGAGGAGGAGGAGGAGGAGGAGGAGGAGGAGGATCAGCGCGTGGTGGAGGGGGCGTTCGCCAGGTGACTACTAGCCGCCCGCGGCCAGGGATCCCGCTGCGGGGATGGGCCGTAGGACTCGGCGGAGCTCCAATCGCCGAGCCACTCTCTTCTGTCAGGGCTGCCGTGCATGATTTTCAGGGAAGCACCACCCTTTTGGGAAGCTCTCAACCTGATTCACTGGCTTCAACGGTCTGTCTTTTACAAGCTTTGATGGACTGGGCAACACATACTAATCATAGTGCCACTTAGAAACAAGACGACTGCACGGGTGCACCCGCAATAGTGCACAAGACAAGAAATTCAAAGCTCAAAGCAACACAGATGCAGACCACGGCTCATCACGGAGAGCGGGCTAAACTATTCCCACGGGCCTCTCCCACGATTCTTATGCACCAATGGGCAGCGGAACGCAAAGGCCAGGAGCGAGCCTTAATTGCAGCATGGCTTGCCTCAGGCGGCAAGCGAAGAAAGGTAAAACCATCCAGACTTATGATGGATGTTTTGCATGGCGCGGGCCTTGCCGTACTCGCCGACGCATTCCTTCCACCAGTCCATGTTGTCAGACTTCGTTAGCAGGTAGTCGCCCATCCGGCCGGAGACTGGCATTGCAGGCGTTTCCTTCTCTTCGAAGTCCTTGCACCACCCGTCCTTGGCCAGCACGAACTTCATTTGTTTCCGATTTCGGCATAGCGGAACTGCTTGTATTTTTGGGTGGCGCAGTCCTTGCCGTACTTGGCACTGCAGCCCTTCCACCAGCCCATGTTGTCAGCCTTCTTCTGAGCGTTTGCGACCTTGTTGAAATTGCGATGGCCTGGGTCATCGATGACGATTGTGTAGTGCCACTTCTCGGTGTAGAAGTGTTGGTTGGTGCAGGCGCTGGTCACCCCGCACTGGTGCTCCTCCTTCTGACGGTCCATGTAGATCGTGAAGGCGATGGGGCCTGGTACTAGGCATACGGCCTCCTCCTTCAGCTTCTCCAGCTCGCGTTGCGGAAGGCCGCCCAGGTCGTAGTTGAGGTGGGCGGTGGTGGTGCTCTCGCCGATGTCGACATGCCCGCAGATCACGAAGGAGAGGTGCTCCTTCGCAAGAATGGCAGGCATGGCAGACTGGTGGGGAAGGATCCGAAAACTCTGGGGGCGGAAGCGAACACGAAATGTTCGAGCCCCAAGCTCCTGGACCTGAGCAGGAGTGAAATGCTGTGGTGTCCTCGGCCCCCAGAGGCCGAGGACTTGAGCCAAAATGGCTACGGAGGAGGAGGAGGAGGAGGAGGAGGAGGAGGAGGACCCCCCCTCCAACTGATGGTGGTGGTGGTGGAAAACACGCCCATCCACAAAAAGGAATCCAAAGGAAGGCCGGGGTCGAGGCTCTCGGCCCCATCCATCCATGGGACCTCTTCTTCGTCGAGGGTCGTTTCCTGAGCCCCCCCCCCCGGGTGCCCGAGAACGCACCCCCCCGCGGAGGACCAGGTCGTCAAGAAACCGCCCGTCGCGACCTTATTCGCGGCGCCCAGAGGTCTGCGGTGGTTGGCTGTGCTCAGGGGCCAGTGCGGGGAAAAACACACGCAGGGGGTCTGAGGAGGGCAGGCGCGTCGCCCTCCACCCAGCCTGGTGCTGCACTCGCAGGTGCTGCCGCCTCCCCAGCGACCGAATTCGGAATTCCCCTGCGAGCGTTCGCCCAGCGTCCGCCCGAGTAGGTGGATGAACGAGTGAAGTTCGACGAGGTCGGACCTGGCACAGCCTTGGAGGCACGAGATGCACGCACGGCCCTCGGGCGCGGGCGCCACGAGACGGGAAAACCCTGGGATGAGGAGGCCGGCCGGAGGCAGTGATGGTGATAATGATGTTGATGATGAGGAGGATGATGACGGTGCTAATGATGATGGTGCTGATGATTGTGGTAATGATGATGATGGCATTCGTCATCGTCATCGAAAACGTCATCGTGATCAGCATAATCCGCATCATCAGCATAATCATCGTCATCGCCATCACCAGCACCATCATCATCCTTATCATAAGCATCATCATCAGCATCCTCATCAGCATCCTGATCCTGATCATGATCCTGATTATGACCCCCATCGTCCTCATCATCCTCATCATCGTCGTCGTCATCGCATCACCAACAACAGATGCATTATCATTGCAAGCATCACCATCGTCACCATCATCATCATCATCATCATCCTCACCACCATCGCCATCATCAGCATCATCATCAGTATTACCATCATCACCACCGTCATCATCATCACCATCATCATCAGCAGCAGCAACAGCATCTTCATCATCATATTCATCTGCATAATCAGCAGAAGCAGCATCTTCATCATCATCATCATCATCATCATCATCATCATCATCATCATCATCATCTTCATCAGCATCATCACCACCATCACCAGCACCAGCACCACCATCACCATCACAATGATCCTCCTCCTCATCATCATCATCATCAGCCTCATCATCTGCATCATCACCACCATCATCGCCATCGTCATAATCACCAGAACCACCATCATACTCAGCATATTCAGAACCATCATCATCATCATCAACAGCCTCAGCATCATCAGCATCCTCATCATCATCAGCAGCAACCTCATAAGCATCTTCATGGACATCGTCATCAGCATCACCATCATCCTCAGCACCATCCTATTCAATTATCATCTTCATCATCATGATCATCATGATGATGATCATCATCAGCATCATCATCATTACCACCATCTCCTTCATCGGCAGCATCACCATCGTCAACAACAACAAGGGAGCGGAAGAGACGTAAAGAAAGAGAGAGAGAGAGAGAACAAACAAAAACGAGAGAGAGAGAGAGAGATAGAGGGGCAGCCTCACGGCGTCACCCGTCCGAAGCCGCTGCCGACGTGCAGGCAGCCGCCGTCGGACTTCAGCCGCTCCTCCAGGCGGCCCGCGGCCGCGAGCACCAGGCCCAGGAAGAGCGGCGCCGGGTGCGAGGGGGTGCTCTGGAACTCAGGGTGGAACTGGCAGGCCACGTAGAAGGGGTGGCCCTGCAGCTCGCACACCTCCATGCGCTGGCCGCGGTCGTCCTGCCCCACGAAGCGCATGCCCCTCGCCTCCAAGGCCGCCACGCAGGACGCGTTCACCTCGTACCGATGGCGGTGGCGCTCGTAGACGACGGGCTTGCCACCGTCCGCCACCGTGCCCGCGGCACGCTGGGGCGTCTTCCAAAATGACCGTTCAGCTGTCCGATAGGCCTCTGAGGTCCTCCAGGGGCGCCGCCCCCCCCTGCCGTGACGGCGCCGCTAGGGGACAGCCGCCGCTCCTCCCCCCAAAGAGAAGATCTCCCAGACGGCCTCTGGAGCTCACCAGACGGCCTCTAGAGATCACCAGGCGGCCCCCCATGCCAGCATACAGGGGGCAAAGACCTCCAAGGCCTCCAATATCTATGCCCTGGGGCTGCTCCCAAGAGGCCCCAAGAGGGAGGCGCCCAGAGAGGCATCCAGCGGGGCCCTGAAATTTCAGAACACAATGATGTCAGCTCGCGTGCTCCAAGCAACTGATTCGTGGAATTACTTTGTGTGGGGCCATATTGACGAGGAGGCAGGCGTATGCGTTTGTGCGTGCGTGCGTGCGTGCGTGCATGCGTACGTGCGTGTGTGTGTGTGTGTGAATGTGTGTGTGTGTGCGTGCGTGCGTGCGTGCGTGCGTGCGTGCGTGCGTGCGTGCGTGTGTGTGTGTGTGTGCGCGCGTGTGTGTGTGTGGGTCGGCGTGCGTGCGTGCGTGCGTGCGCGCGTGCGTGCGTGCGTGTGTGCGTGCGTGTGTGCGTGCGTGCGTGCGTGGGTGTGCGTGCGTGCGTGGGTGTGCTTGCGTGCGTGCGTGCGTGCGTGCCTGCGTGCGTGCGTGCGTGCGTGCGTGCGTGCGTAAAAGCGAGCGTGCGTGCGTGCGTGCGCGTGCGTGTGCGTGCGTGCGTGCGTGCGTGCGTGCGTGTGTGTGTGTGTGTGTGGTGTGTGTGTGTGTGTGTGTGTGTGTGTGTGTGTGTGTGTGTGTGTGTGTGTGTGTGTGTGTGTGTGTGTGTGTGTGTGTGTGTGTGTGTGTGTGTGTGTGTGTGTGTGTGTGTGTGTGTGCGTGCGTGCGTGCGTGCGTGCGTGCGTGCGTGCGTGCGTGCGTGCGTGCGTGTGCGTGTGTGTGCGTGCGTGTGCGTGTGTTGCGTGTGTGTGTGTGTGTGTGTGAGTGTGTGTTCGTGTGCGTGTGTTCGTGTGCGTGTCTGTGCGTGTGCGTGTGCGTGGATTTCAATGTGTGTGTGTTGGAACTCTAAGTCGTTTCCTTGTGCTTGTGCAGCCGTGTGAGTGTGGATCCTTGCGTGAAGAACTCTGCGTGTGAAGCCACATTTGGTATGTTACGCTGCTCCGCGGTCCGCCCGTCGGCAGCGGCCTGGAGCGCACGCAGCCCAGGCCCCTGAGCACTGAGCATGCGGAGCCCTGCGTCGGGAACCCAATGCGTATGGAACCTCACGTGTGCAGAACCGTTCTGTGTGCACGTGTGTGGAAAAGGGTGTGTAACCCCATGCTGGTGGAGCCTGATATGTGTGGAGCCCTGCGTGTGCGGATTCCCGTGTGAGGAGCCCTCTGATCGGAAACCCACGTGTGTGGAGCGCAGCAACTGCGTGTGTGCGTGTTTCGCGGTGCTTGAGCGGTTGCACGGTGCGGTGGATTGCGCGGTTGCGTGGTCCCCAAGAGCCCCCAGGACTCCGTGACACCCAACAGGCTCTTGACAGGCCTCCAACAGGCCTCCAACAGGCCCCCGGGAGGCCTGCAGGAGGCTCCAAAGAAGTCCCCAAGGAGATCCCAAGAACCTCCCATTCGCAACTCAAGAAACCATGGAACGCTACAGCTGCGCTACGCTACGGCATCGTTGAGCCGATTCATAGACAACCCCGAGATTTGTTTTACCCAGCCTGTTCGGAGACCTTGGCAGAACTACCCTGCAAGCATATCAATACTGACACTGGCACAGGGCTTGCCGCAAGCCGCTGGATAGAGGCGGCAGGCTAGCGAATCCCGGTCGCGGATGATCGTAGCGCGCGAGCCGAGGCGCATCGTGCCGCCCATCATCGTAGCTGACGCTTCTGGGAGGAAGACGACCACCGGGTTGGGCGTCTCCTCGTCGAACTCGGTGGAGTTGGCATCCTCCCAGCCGAGCTCGTTGCGTGCAAACTCGATGACGGCCGACTGCAAGCCGACGCAGATGCCGAGAAAGGGCTTCTTGGTTTCCCGGCAGTGGGATTCACAAGCGATCTTCCCCTCAATGCCACGGCCACCGAAGCCGCCAGGTACAAGAACGCCCTGCGCTGATCGGATCTTCTCCCAGCTGTCCTCGTAACTCTGCTGGTCGGTCTTCTGGGCCCCAGGCTGCAGACTGCAGGAGTCCACCCACGATATCACTAGACGCAGGCCAGCCTCGACGGCGGCGTGCTGCAGGGCCTTCACCACGCTGACGTACGCGTCGGGGTTGCCAGTGTACTTCCCAACTAGCGCAATCGACACCTCCTCCTTGCACTTCTCGACGCGGTCTGCGACCACTTGCCAGTCGGCCAGCCGCTCCGTGGCCGCCGACGCAGGCAGCGCACCTGCACCGAGCGGCAGCGTCGGAGCAACAGCGCCGGCAGCCTCTCCGGCGGCCGCCCCGAGGCCCAACTGCTTGCAGATCAGCTGCCCCACGGCCTGCTCCGCCAGCAGCAGGGGGACCTGGTACAGATTGGACACGTCGTGTAGAGAGATGACCATCTCGGGGGGCACCTGGCAGAACAGCGACAGCTTGTTGCGCGTCGCCTCGTCGATCTCCACGTCGCAGCGGCACATCAGCAGGTCCGGGTTCAGGCCCGCCTCGCGCAACAGCTTCACAGAGTGCTGGCAAGGCTTGGTCTTCTGCTCGTTGGTGGCACCGACGGTGGGAACCATGCCCAGATGGATCATCAAGAGGTTCTGGTCACCAACCCGGAACTTGAACTGCTGAAGTGCCTCCAGGTAGATGGCGCTCTCGATGTCCCCCACGGTGCCGCCAAGCTCCACTAGGCAGACTTGCGGCGGAGCGCCTGACCCATCGACGCTCTTGCGTGCTACGTCGGTGATCCAGTCCTGGATCGCGTCTGTGACGTGGGGCACCATCTGCACCGTCTTGCCAAGGTAGTGGCCGGTGCGTTCTCGCTTGATGACCTGGTCGTACACCTTGCCCGATGTCATGCTGTGTCCCGAAGTGAGAGTCAGGCCCAAGAAACGCTCGTAGTTCCCGAGGTCGAGATCGGCCTCGCCACCGTCCTCGAGCACGTACACCTCTCCGTGCTCGTACGGGCTCATGGTGCCAGCGTCGATGTTCAGGTACGGGTCGATCTTGATCGCGGTGACCCTGAGCCCGTGGGACTTGAGCACCACACCAACGGACGAGATCGTGGTGCCCTTGCCGAGGCCAGAGATGGTCCCACCAGTGATGACCACGTACTTCATGCCCGGACCCCCGCCGGCGAGGCTGCCGAGCGAGCCCGCCGGGCCCCTGGGAGGGCTGCCCGTGGCTCCGGTGCAGGCCACGGGTGGGCGCTGCGCACCTGCTCCCGGCATGCCGGTGCCCGCCATATGGCTCCGGGCCCGGGCCCGGGGACTCCGAGCTGCTCGCAGCACCCCCGGCAAACGAAAGGACTGAGCCAAAACGGCTGTAGTGAAGGGGGGTCGACAGGGAGGCGGAGGGAAGGACGAGGAGGCCAAGCAGGAAACTGCTAGAGCAAAGTTCGCCAGCCGTCTTGAGAGCGCACGGCCGTGGAGTTCCCAGCGGGACTGCTGACTTCCCACTCCTCTCTCATTCCTACTGTCTACTGGCAGGGTCCGCAGCGTCACAACACAGGTACGCACACGCTTTTTGGCGTCGCAGCCCTGCACGCAGCGACAGAGCGGAGAAAGTCGTAGTACGGAAGCCGCGCGCGAGCGTCCAAATGCGCCCGAGCCCTCAGAGACCACTTAAGGCACCGTCACGGCCGCCAGCCATAAGTTATCCGGGCGTGGATGACGGGGGGGACAGTGGAAGGTCAAACACGCAGATACACACACACACGCACACACACACACACACCTTGTGTGTGTGTGTGTGTGGAACCTTCTCCCGAAGACTGCCAATGCCTGAATGGGTTCCCACGCCCCGCTCAGGGGTGGGGGGAGCAGGCCGCCGCACGCGGACTGAGGTAGTGACCGCTTCGCCAGTACGAAGAGTGAGTGTGTGTGTGCCTCAGTCCGTAGACATTTTGGCGTAAGTTCCCAACCCTTTTCGGGGGGGTGGGAGCTTGCCGTGGCCGTCGGCTCGAGGGGAGCCGAGGGGCCGCGGGGCGCGGCGCGCGGGCGCGCGCTGGCGCATGCAGTGGCTGCCGCCGGCGCAGCGGCCCTGCCCGAACCCGCGCCCGCTCCCGCTCGCGGCAGGCCAGCAGGCGCACCGGCCCTGCTCCTATAGCCCGCCGGGCCCCAGGCGCCCCTGCGAGCGGGCGCTCCTGCCGCCAGCTCCGCTGGCGAAGCAAGCCGCAGCGCCGCCGCCAGAGGCGGCGGCGGCGGCGGCGACGGGGCCCCCGGAGGAGCCGAACAGTGGGTATCTATACTCCGAGGACGACGCGGACGACGAGGGCGGCACAGCGGACGGCAAGCCAGCGGCAGCTGCATGGGGCAGCTCCGGCGCCGCGTCGAGCCGCACACCTGGCGCAGCACGGCCGGCAGCAGCAGCGGCGGCAGCAGGAACGCAAAGGCGGCCGCGGGGCGCGACGACGGCGCAGGCGATGCCAGCGCCGACCCGCCCGCGGCGCAGGCCGCGACGAAGCCGCCGCCACCGGCCCAGGGGGAGGGGCGACGGGAGCGGCGGCGGGCCTTGCCGTTGATCGGCGCGGGGGACGACGCAGGGCAGCTCGCGGCGCGCAGCCCCGGCGGCTCCGAGAGAGGCCGCAACGGAGCTGCAACACCAGCCCCCGCGGAGGGGCGACAGGAGCGACCGGCTGCCGCGACGGAGCTGCCGGCACCGGCGGGGCCGACGGAGCCAGCCGCGGAGGGCTTGCCAGGCAGGCGTGCCCAGCGCGCGACTGGTCGCGACGGCTCTCCACCAGGCCGGCTGGTCGGGGTTCACGGCGGTGGACCTCCCAGAGGGGCAGGTCCTCCTCTGGTGGACACTATAGCGCACTCGCGCTGAGCCCGGGCCGCCAGCCACGCGAGCCGCTCGAGCTCGTGCATCTGGACTGGGGCGAGCACTCCATCAAGAGGGAGTACGACACGCTAGAGGTGCCATGCTGGCCACCCAGTCTTGGGCTGACGCGTCGGAGGACGTCAGCGACGTGGGCTGGGGCAGCCGCGCGGTGGCGACGCCGCCCCGGGCCACCAGGCGGGCGGGGCTGGTGAGGGGGGCGGACGGCGCCGACGGCAAGCCAAGCGGCGACGCGGCCGCGGGCGCCACGGCGCAGGCGGCGCGGCTCTGGGAGGCCGCCGGCCTGGCCGGCCATCCGGAGGCGGCGCAGGCCGACGCGCTCCGGGCGCGAGCGGCCGGGCGGGCCCTTCCTGAGGCCCGGGAGGTGGCGGCGCTGCTGGAGGCGGCGGCGGGCTCCTCGGCCGCCCTGGGCCCCGCAGCTCTGCTGGCCGCGCGCGGGGCCCTCCGCCTCGCCTGGCCGGGCTGCTGCCGGGGCGGGCGCCCCGCAAAGCCGGGGGCGCCAGGCGGCGGCCGCCGCGGCTGCGATGGCTGCGCCGCTTGCACTGCCTGTTGTTGCTGCTGCTTCTCCTCCTTCCCCCTTCCCCCCCTGTGTGTGCTCTCCGCCTTTTTCCTGAGCCAAGGGGCGATGCACCTTGTGCTAGTTAATATGTGTGTGTGTGTGTTCGTGTGTGTGTGTGTGTGTCTGTGTCTGTCTGTGTATGCGTGCGCCTCAATCCTTCCGCGGCGTGCTGCACGCGCGGTGCGTCTCATTCTGTCGTCTTGGCTCGGCCTGGCGCTGCTTCTGATTCCTCCGCTTCCTTCGTCCCGCGCCACCGCCGTGTCTCGCCCCGCCTGGTTAACTACCAGCGCCTGCTCTTCCTCATCCTCCTCCTACTTGCCGTTTCTCTCTCTTCCTCTCTCTATCTATATCTCTTTGTCTGCATCCCTCTCTCTCTCTCTCTCTTTCTCTCTCTCTCTCTCTCTCTCTCCCCGTCTCTCTCTCTCTCTCTCTCTCCCCCCCCTTTTTCCCTACCTAGGCTCTGCCTAGAAGGGTTCTTACTCTATTAGCTTAAAGGGGCCGGGCAGTGTTCCCGCCCCGGGCGGTTCCCCCGGCATCCGCCCCGCGGTTCCCCCAGTGACGGTCTCTTAGCTTCGCGTTGCATATCTCATCTTAGCTTAGCTTATGTCCTCTTAGCTTAATCTAGCTTCATCTTAGCTCAGCGATAGCTTAGCTTTAGCATAGCTTTAGCTTAGCTTTAGCTTAGCTTTAGCTTAGCGTTAGCTTAGCCTTAGCTTAGATATAGCTTAGCTTTAGCTTAGCTTTTGCTTAGCTTTAGCTTAGCTGTACCTTAGCTTTAGCTTAGCCTTAGCTCAACTTAGCTTTAGCTTAGCTTCAGCTTAGCGTTAGCTTAGCTTTAGCTTAGATTTAGCTTACGTTTAGCTTAGCTTTAGCTTAGCTGTAGCTTAGCTTTAGCTTATATTTAGCTTAGCCTTAGCTTAGATTTAGCTTAGCTTTAGCTTAGAGTCAGTTTAGCTTTAGCTTAGCGTTAGCTTAGCTTTAGCTTAGCTTTAGCTTAGCGTTAGCTTGGCTTTGGCTTAGCTGTAGCTTAGCTTTAGCTTAGCTGAAGCTTAGCTTTAGCTGAGCTTTAGTTTAGCGTTAGCTTAGCTTTAGCTTAGCTTTACCTTAGATGTAGCTTAGCTTTAGGTCAGCTTTAGCTTAGTTTTACTGTTAATACTAATGCTGCTTTCCTAGGGGCTCCAACTCCTAGGTAGGGTCACACTGGGATGATGTCTCTCTCTACCTCTCTGCATATGTATGCTTGCACACACAAAAGTATACATATATGCATACATATGTCCGTGCATATCCATCTCTACATTTGTGCTGAATCCGCATGCTGCTGTTTCCAAACGTTGAACCTGGCTCGACGTGTGCTGCGATCTTCAGTTCTAAGCGCATGTCCGCGATCGATTATTCGCTCTGCGAGCAACCCCGTTGTTTACAACCGCTGATTGGAGCCATCGGCACGTCGGAGGAAAGCATGTGTGTGGCATTCGGGTCCACCACGTGTTCTTCACAATGTTGGGCGTAAGTTCAAACAACAGCTTGCGACACAATACATGTCACTCGCTACGGTGACGTCACCTGGCTGGTGGAGGAGTGGAGGTATGCCTGTACCTCCTGGCCGCTCTAGCCCGCGGGAAGGTTCCCACACGGACGCCAGCAGACGCCTCAGAGACAGAATAGCCTTCCACGACGGCCCCACGAGGTCCCGAAAGAAGGCCTCAAGAGCTGAACAAGGTCGAAGACGGCAACAAGATGCTGGTAAGGTGACCCAGGAGGGTTCCAAGACAGCCAGCGCGTTGTTGCACACTGGATGCACAATATCCGTGGTGCAATAGCTGTGGCGCGACCTAAGTGGTGCAACCTATGAGTGGACAGCTATTGGGTCCGACCTACGTGGTGCAATGTATGAAGCGCCATGTGTGTGTGTGCGTGTGTGGTACAAGCTCGGTGGTCGAATCCATGTCTTGCAAGCTGCGGTGCAATGTACCTGGTGCACGCAAAGTGGTGAAATCTATGCGGGGCAAGTGCTGCTATCCGCAGCGGGTCCCACGTGGGCGCCCACAGGCGGCCACCAGGCAAAACCTCCGCGGACCCTGCCAGCACACGGGACGCCCGCAAGGTGCCCACCGGGCACCCACGGGCGACCACCAGGCGAAAGCTCGGCTGACTCAGCCAGCGCACGGGGTGCCCACGAAGCGCACACGGGAAACCTCCGCGGACCCCGCCAGCGTACGGGGCGCCCACAAGGCGCACACGGACACCGACCAGGCGAAGAATCGACCGAACCAGCCAGCGGACGGGTGCCCACGAGTCGCCCACCAGGCAATTGCCTCGGCGGACCAAGCCAGCGCACGAGGCGCCCACGATGCGCCCACGGGCGCCCACCAGGCGAAATCTCGATGGACCCGGCCAGCCCATGGGGCGCCCACGAAGGGAAACCACGGTGGATCCATCCAAATACTTATGTGTTTGCCAGCGTGGACCCCCTATCAAATAATTATTGCACTGTGGCTGCGCAAACTATGTGGTGCATTACGTGCGGTGCAAGCTACGCGCTGCAATCCATTCTTTATCAGAAGCGCATTGCAAGCCATGAGGTGAAAGCTACGTGGTGCAAACTATGCGGTGCAAGCTGTGCCGTGCAATCTATGCGGTGCCCGCGAGGCAGCGACGGACGGGCACCATGCAAACCCTCGGCTGAACACCTAACGCGGGGCGTCCGCGAGGCGCCCACGGGCGAGAGCCAAAGCGAAACCTCGGCTGACCCAGCCAGCGCACGGGGCGACCGCGAGGCGCCCGCGAGGTGCTATCTGGCGACCAGAACCGAATGGTGCAAGCTATGCGGTACTGCCTACAGGCACGAGGCGCCCACGAGGGGATACGGTGCGGTGCACCCTGTGCGTTACTGCCTGCCGTGCGCGCCACGTGAGCGCCCACAGGCGACCACCGGGCGGAACCTCGGCGGGCCCAGCCAGCACACAGGGGTGCCCACGAGGCGCCCGCGGGGCGCCCACGGGCGATCACCAGGCAAAATCTCGGCTGGCCCACCCAGCGCACGCGGCGCCCACGAGACGACCACTTGCAGGAACCAAGCGGAACCTCCACAGCCCCTCCCAACACGAGACGCCAAGGAGGCGGCCACCATCCAGGCACCAGGCGAAACCTCGGCTGACCCAGCCCATTCCTCAGGAAGAGAAGTAAGGACCCCAAGGACCCGCGCTGTTCATGAAATAACGAAGGTGAGAACCCAAACGCGATCTGGGTGCAGCCCATTGGGATCTATTGTGTTGACATGTTTATTTCATGTTCCACGTGTTGGGGAGGTATCCATGTAGACTGGTATCCAGCAGGCCGAGAACACTGGCAGGCAGGAGGCGCGGGAGCGCGAGGCTGCCGAGCAAGGCAAAGGGCGCGACAAAGGCGGCAAGACTGGCAAGCGCCGCTTTGAATCGGCCTGGGGCGACGCCCCCGGGACCCGCCCTCGGCGCTAAGCATCTGCTGCAGCCACCGTTAGCCGCTGCATTTGGCACCTCTATGGGGCGTGCATCCCGCGGGCGCCGCGCCACTCCACACATGGCCCCCCTCCCTCCGATTCTCCTCCTTGCGTCGTACCTCCCGGGTGGGAGGCGCGTCGCGCACATACCGCCCCCTGCACCATCTCGGTGCCTCTGCCGCAACACCCAACTTTCACATCCTTCGGCGCCCCCCTTTCCGCTATCGGCGACGCACCTCCCGGGTGGGACGCGCGTCGCTCACTCTCGGTCCCCTGCACTACTTCGGTGCTTCACTGTCGCTTCCCGCTGGACCGCCCATCGGGTCTTGCGTTCGGTACCCGGCTTCTGCACCTCACGGCCGCCTCGCCGCCGCCCTCCCGCGACGTACCCCCCGTGTGGGACGCGCGTCGCTCTCCCCCTGCCCCTGCGCCATTTCGGCGCTTCTCTGGTCCTCCACCACGCTGCACCGCCCTCTGGGCCGCCCATCGCCGCCACCCGGCTTCTGCACCTCCTGGTGTTCCCCACCGCCGCCCCCTCGCGACGTACCTCCCGTGTGGGATGCGCGTCGCTCTCTCCCTGACCCTTGCGCCACTTCGGCGCTCCTCTGCCAACTACCCCGCGCTGTTCCGCCCTCTGGGCCGCCCAGCGGCGCTACCCGGCCTCCGCACCTCCCGGTGCTCCCCGCCGCCGCCCCCTCGCGTCGTACCTCCCGGGTGGGAGGCGCGTCGCCCGTTCACCGACCCCTGCGCCACTTCGGTGCTCCTGTGGTGCACCACGCTGGCCTGCGTGTGTGGGGCGCCCTGCCTTGCCACCCGGCTTCCGCACCCGTCGGTGCTCCCCCTTTCCGCGGCGGTTCCGCGCCGTCTCTTTCTATTGCGGTACTTCTGGAGGTCGGAAAGGGGTGTGGCATAAAGGGGTATGGTGCCAATCGTGGAAATGGCGATGCGATCTGCGATACATAACAGCGCCATATCCCCCTTGACACGAACTTAGCACCACACCCCTTTATACCGTACCCCTTTCCTACCTCCAGAGTGCTGTTCCGCCCCGCTCCTGCGGGCCACCCGGACGCTTGAGCAGTGACCGACCGTCGTCCTACCACGTTATGTTCTTAGAACCCAAAACTGTTCTAAGAACAAAAACAATGTTCTCAGAACACTAACCCGATATGTTCAAACAAAACAGACGCCGCCAGAAATGCCCCAAGAACAATTCGTGGAAACCACAAAAAGTTCTTAGAACATTGTTTGGTGAGGCTATCTGCGAGCCAAGACGCTTCGCCGCTGCTTGAGACACTATGCCCGCCGCCACCTGCACCTCCCTCTCTGCCCAGTTCTTCCCTGGCTGCCCTGGGCAACCACTGTCCTCTCTTCTGGGCGGTCTCGTCGCGTCGCCGCTCCCGGGTGCCCCGCGTCTCTCCCACGTCGCTGGTCCGCCCTGCAGCCCGCGGGCGCCTGGAGCGCGATGCCCGCTGCCTCCCGCCCTACCCCGCCCGGCCACCTGGCCTCGGGCGGTCACGCTGCAGTGCCCCCGTCACTGCCTGCTTTCCGCTGCTCCCACCCCCGCACGGCTCAGCGCTGTGCGTTCTCCTCGGGGCGCCGCGGTACGATGCTCGCGGTGTTTCCTGTGCTTCCCCAGCCCCTGGCTGGCTGCCACTCCCCGCCACCCTTGCCGCCGCGGTTCGAAGCGGCCGCCCACCGCGCTCTGGTCTGCGCGCCTGGCCGCTGCTGCCCGCTGGCTGCTTATCGTCGAATTCCTCGGCGTCTGAGCGTCCCTCCTTCCTCTCGGTCCTCGGCCTCCCTCCTCCTCCTCCTCCTCCTTCTCCTCCTCCTCCTCCTCCTCCTCCTCCTCCTCCTCCTCCTCCTCCTCCTCCTCCCCTCCTCCTCCTCCTCCTCCTCCTCCTCCTCCTCCTCCTCCTCCTCCTCCTCCTCCTCCTCCTCCTCCTCCTCCTCCTCCTCCTCCTCCTCCCCCCTCCCTCCTTGCACGCCGGCCAATTGGCTAGTTTGTGCCCCTACCTAGCTGTTCGCTGGAACGGATTTCGCCGCCTCGCCGCTGACGAAAAAAATTCCACGTGTTGATCTAAAGATGTCCCAGGTTCGCTTCAATACGGCCCCAAGATACCCCGTGATTGCTCGAGGCAGCGCCAAGTTGGCCCACGAAGTACCCCAGATGCCGCCCAGATCGCGCAGGATAGCCCAACGAGGCCGCAAGACAATCCCAAGATAGTCTTCACCCCCAAAGCCGACGGGAATCGTGCATCGTGCGTGGAGGTTTTGGCTTGGCCTGGCGTGTTCTTTCTCTTGTCGTTCGCGGAGTTGTGGCCCAGCATGCGTTCGCTTCCTCAATTTCCGATTGCATGGTGCCTCAAAGCGATGCTCCTCACGGAGACCGACATGAGAGCGGCATACAGCAGCGAGGGATGTGGAGGAGGGGGCGGAAGAGGCGGAGGACGGCATCGGGGTCGGGGTCAGGCGGGCGCTGGAGCAGGCCGGCGGGAAGGTAGGGAAAGTCTGCGCAAACGTCTGGGGGTCAGCATGATTTCGAAACGGGGCGGGCAGCAGACGCGTGCGGGGGTGGGAAGCTGCGTCGACATTGCCGCGGGTCGGGGGGGGGTCCACAGCAGAGCTCCAAATACACGCGGGCAGGAAGCTGGCGTAGAGGAGGCGGCCACAGGAAAGGGTGGAGACGGGAAGCCGCGCAGGTGCAATCACATCTTTTTTGATAAGGAGGTTAAGAGAGGCGACCACAGGGGCGCTCCAAATGCATACGAGCAAACAGGAGAGCAGGAAGGAGAGCAGGTAAGCGCGACCATTGGTTGGACCTACAGCCATTCTGGTCACAGTCAACACCCTTACGAATCGGCAATGCATGCCAGAACTGGTGTCGTCAGGACGAGGCGGTACAACATGGAGAAGCAGCGGGAACAAACAGATGCGCTGGTGCCGCCGGCAAGTCCAGGCGGATACGTCTCCGTCCACAGAATATACAGAAGGATCCCCCACGGGAGCGGGCGGGACGGCGAGGCCACAGCCCGACAGTGCAGCAAGCGAACGAACAACCCACCCATCCCCATCCACGCTTCTCCACCCTCTTGCGCGGGGGCAACAGGAGACCCGCTCCCTGGACCTCTCCCGGGGAGCGCCTTGGCCAGGACCCCGAGGCGAATCCATAACGGCCCACAAGGAGCCCTCCAGGGCGAGCGGCGGCATCAGTGTCTCGTCCTCCTCTGGCCGTGGAAGGCGCCGCAAGGGGAACAGCCATCCCGGCCGCGGCGTGCGCCGGGACATGGCCCCTCTGGAGGTCCCGAGGCACCCGGAACACAGGGCCGGTGCGCACGTCCTGTGCGCCGACGCGCACACGAGCCCTCCGCCTCTCTCCCCTCTCCACGGTGTCCCCACTGACGCGCGCCTGCCCGGCACCACCCCAGCTGGGCACAAGAACTGAGACAGCACCTCGGCGATCCGCGGCGGCACTGCAAAAGTCGGTCGTACGGGCCAGGGGCATGATTATTCTGCGCCGCCGCACCGTTCAAACGGCTGTAGCCTAGGCTGGCTGAGTGCCATCTGGTAAGCAGGCGGCCCGCTCTCCCTCTAAGTTTCGTCGAGCGCGGTGGCTTGTGCATGCGCTCGATCACTCGTACCCTCCTCGCTTGCCCTCTTTCCATTATCCGCCGCGTCCTTCTCGCATGCCCAACAGTTCAGCTCGGCGAGCACAAGTTCATGCCGCTGATTGAAGGCTGAGACCCAGATGGGACCCGCCGCTGATGCCCGACATTGAAAAATAAAAAGCACCGATGTACAGCTATTCCGATACACAAAAGTCCCTGAGGGAACATTGCGGACAAGCTCAGCACACACAGCGCTCAATTCCCCGAAGCGTACGCGCCAACCGTACGCGCCCAAGAAGCCCACCTCCTCCTCTTCCTCCTCAGCTCCTCCGTCTCAGCTCCTCCACCACCGCCCCAACTGGCGAAGTGTCCTTGGTGCCTCGATGAAGCGGTGATCGGCTCAGCTCAGTCGGCCTCGCTCGACGGTTGCTAGGGCTGGCGACTGCTCACTGGGAAGACAGCATGCAAGCGACCGCTGGGGCCGGCGACGACACGGTAAGGGGCCCGAGAGCTGGCCGCGGACCTGGCCGACGCTGAAGAGGCCGTGCTGGCCGCAGCGCCCACCATGGCGCCGCCTGCGCCGCCTGCGGAGGCGCCCAGCTGCGGGCCCGAGGACGCTGCGCCCCACGAGTTGGGCGCGTGGGCCAGCGACCTCCCAGACTGGGTCCCGGTGAAGACCGCGCTCGATCCTCGGGAGCCTGTGCTGGACGCAGCGCCCACCACGGCGCCGCCAGCGCTGCCCACGGAGGTGCCCCGCACGCTGGGTGCTTGGACCAGCGACCTCCCAGACTGGGCCCCAGTGAAGACCGTGCTCGATCCTCGGGAGCCTGTGCTCGCAGCATCGCTCACTATGACGCCGCTGGCGACGCCTTCGGGCACGGGCTGTGGTCGCGTAGGCACGGGAGCTCGCCCCAGGATCGCGGAAGGAAGGGGGGCCACAACGCCCCACGCATTGGGTATCCCTCTCGCGTACGCCGACCTGGCAGATGATGCCGTGGAGCCTGTGCTCAGCGCAGTGCCCACCATACTTCCACCAGCGCTGCCTCCAAATGCCCCCGGTTGCGGGCCCGTAGGCACGGCGCCCCATGCGTCAGCTGCAAGACCTGCCGATCTCCCGCGCGGGGCAGCAGACCTGGCCGCCGACCTGGCAGACGACGCCGGGGTGCCACGGCCAGGCGCAGCGCCCATCACGGCGCCACCAGCGCTGCCTTCGGGTGCACCCCGCTGTATGTCCGCGGGCGCCACGCCCCGCGCGCTGGGCAGCGGAGCCAGCGATCTCCCGTGGGGGGCCCGCGTGCTGGCTGCCGGCCCGGCGGGCGACGCCATGGAGCCCGTGCCGGCCGCAGCGCCCACCACGGCGCCGCCCGAGCCGCCCTCGGGAGCGGCCCGCGGCGGGCCCGAGGGCGCCGCGCCGTCTGCCTCGGTGAGCACCGCCGCCTTGGCCCGCAGGTAGCAGACGCAGAGGAAGAGCGCCGTGCTGGCCAGGCAGCCGATGATGACGCCGAGCAGCAGCGTGGAGGAGCCCGTGGTCTCGGCCGTCCGCTTCGCCTCGGAGGTGCCGGCGAGGACGGCGCACGGCGCCAGCCAGGCCGCCCAGATACCGGCGCCGGCGGTCCTGGGGGAGCTGCGGGGAGGGGCAGAGGAGGAGGAGGGGGAGGAGGAGGAGGAGGAGGAGGAGGAGGAGGAGGAGGAGGAGGAGGAGGAGGAGGAGGAGGAAGAGGGGGAGGAGGAGGAGGAGGAAGAAGAGGGGGAGGAGGAGGAAGAGGGGGAGGAGGAGGGGAAGATGGGGGAGAGATGCCGAGGTCGAGGCTCGGCTTGGGAAGCCAGGTTCTGTCATCAACGCGGAAAGACAGAGGGCATGGCCATGCAGCATGCATCCCGAGGGGCCCGCGGACAATACGGATGGGATGCATGCGGCTCCTGCGCAGCGGAAACGTGGCGAGGTTCCTGCAGGAACGTCCGGGGAGCCCTGTCCGATCATCAACAGAAGACTGAAAAGATGCAGCGTGAGGCTCTGTCGAGCAGCTTGCTTGCCCGCTGGCACCACGAGAGGTGCCCGCGCGTTCCCAGGGGCCCCCGAGGAGGCACTCGCCCGAATGGGACCCCCACAGGGTCGCAGCCGACCGAGACCACCCACGAGTCGCAGAGGCGCTGCGCCCGGCCGAGCCCCCGCAGAACACCTGGCTGGACGACAGACTCCCCCCCCCCCTCGCCCCCCCTCGCACCTCCCGCACCTCTCCGGGCGGGAGAGGAGCGACCCCGAAGCCAACGACGGGCGAGGGACGTCGACGACGACGGACGGCGGGGCGGGGGCTGGTCCTCACGAGCCAGGGGCGCCCGCAGCCGCCCGCCATCTTCGCGGGCTGGCCACTGCCAGCTGCCCATGCTCGCCCTGCCGCCCCCCGGCCTTCCGCGCCAGAAAGAGGGCTCGCAGGAGGCCCTCTCTTCGCAATCGCCCTCGCCGCCGTCGCCGCTGGCGCCGCCGCCGTCGTCTTCGTCGCAGACTTCCGCGCCGATAATCCCTGCTCCCCCTTCCCAGTCCTCCTCGCTCAGCCCCGCTCCTTCTCCTACCTCCCCGCCTTTCTCACTCGCTCCCACTCTCCATATCTATCTCCGTTTCCCGTCCCTTCCTCTACCCTTCCTCCCTCCCTTCTCCGCATTATTCTTTTGCACCATGTGTCTATAGCTCCGGCGTCGTTTTATCCCGCACGCACGGCACGGCACCGCCCCCACCACTCTGCTGGTTCAGCCAGCGCAAGTCTTCGCCCCTTCCACCTGGCAGGAGCAGCTAACCTCATCCAGCTCTCCCAGCAGCCACGCGCCCCCTCCGCCCCCTCCCCTCTTCCAGCAGCCCCGCACCCCCTCCGCCCCGACGCCTGGTACCCCGCACGCACGGCAAAGCACCGCGCCCAACACCGCTCGCCCCGACCAGCCAGCCCCACCCACTCCGTTTGCAGAAGCCTCGCTTCTCCAATCGCGCTCCTCTTCCGCCTCCCCCCGGCATACCTTCTCGTTGCTTCCCCCCCTCCTCCTTGATCGCTCGGGAAGCACAAAGAAGGCTTGGGAAGCCAAGCGCGAGAGGGACGTCGGGCAGAGCTGTGGCTGAGCTCCAACACACCAGCGAACCTCCAGCATCCGAGGAGCTGCCTTGGAGGACACCCTGCCTCCTCTCCTCCCCTCTCCGGCCCTCCTCCCCCTCTCCTCTCGTCCGCAAGCGAACAGGCCCTGCCCAGGAACGCGCCCGCACGAGAACTTCGAGGATGCCCCAGCCGCGGCGACGACAGCCCCCCCCCTCCCGGAGGGCCCAGAAAAAGACGACAGTCACCACACACACACACACACATACCAGCCCCCCCCCCCCTCCCCCCCTCCTGGAGCCCTCCCCCTCAGCCCTCCCCCCCCTCCCTCCCCCTCCTGGATCCCCGAACCTCGAGCCCTCCCCCCCTCCTGGAGGGCCCAGAGACGCTACGAAAGACAGCAAGCACCTTGGCCCTCGATCCCCGAGCCTCGGGCCCAGCCGCGCCGCCTCCGCGCCCGCGCGCCCGCGAGGGCGGCGCGCGGCCTGAGGCCGGCGAGCTCCTCGCGGACCCTCGCCCGGAAGCCTGCGAGGTGGCCGACGGAGACGAAGCTGCCTGCGGCATCGTCGGGCCGCTCGCGGCCGCTCGCCCGCGAAGACCCACCGATGACAACGGCCACGGAATCCGCTCCAACTGCCGGCATGATCGGGTCGCACCACGTGCCGCCTGCGCGACCGCGCGGGCGAGAGAGGCGGGGGCCACCTCCCAGAGCACGGCGGCGCCTCTGCGGTATCGGAGAGGGGGACGACCGAGGTCTTGCCGCGTTCGGGGATCGAGGATCGAGGATCGGGGAGGGGGTCGAGTTGTTTCACGTTCGGGAACCAGGGTTCGAGGATAGGGCTGGAGACCAGCTTCTTGCACGTTCGAGGATCGGGGTGGAGATCAAGTTTGTGCATGTTCGAGGGTCGGGGGGTCGAGGATCGGGGAAGAGGGATTCTGCTTTCGACGTTCGATGACCGACGTTCGAAGATCGGTAGGCTGCACACGATTTCTCCACGTTCGGGGCTCAAGATTCGAGGGTCGCGGAGGACGTCGGTTGTTTTCCCACGCTCGGGGGGTGGCGGCCCGAGGATCGGGTAGGATATGCTGTTCTCCACGCTCGAGGATCAAACTTCGAGGATCGGTCAGGAGGCCGAGTCTTGTCACATTCGAGTATCGTGGCTCGAAGATCGATGAGAATTCGAGGTGTTTACGCCTCGAGGCCGAAGCTCGATGATCGGGACAGAAATCAACGCGCATTCGCCAAGGAAGATCGGCATTCGATGATCGGGGGCAGGCCCACTATTCCCCACCTTCGAGGATCCATGTTCGCGGATCGGGGCGGACATCGAGTCCTTTCACGTGAGAGCGTCCAACTTCAACGATTGGAGTGGAAAGCCAGGTACTTTACGTTCGAGGGTCGAAATTCGAGGATCGGGAAGCATGCCGAGCTTTGGTTTCACCTTTGATGATCGGGGCTCGAATATTGAGCAGGGCATCTGACGTATGACATCATTATAGGGTCAAGGTCGAGGGCCGGATGGAGCCGCTGTCACATGTTCGAGGACTGGGTTCCGAGGGCTGGAGAGGATATGCGCTGTGTCATGCATGTTCGAAAGTTGAGTTCCAAGACTCGAGCGGAAATCGTAGCTATCCTAGCGTTCGAGAGTCGAGGCTCCAGTATCGGAGAGGAGAACTAGTCTTTCCACGTTCGGGCATCGAGATCGGGGATCGGATATCAGGGAGAACGTGTGTATACGATGTGTATACCATGTTTGGGAATCGGTGCTCGAGGATCGATGAGGAGATCTGCACTTTACACGTTCGAAAATCGGGGCTCGAAGATCGGGGACGAAACCACGATGCTTCGTGTTTGATGATCGGGGTTTGGGCAACTGGAAAGAGATCTAGTTTTCACGTGCCAGAACCCAGGCTCGAAGACCGAGGTGGAACACGAGTACGTTGCCACCATTCGGGGATCCGGGTTCGAAGACTTGGTGGGGCGGAGGGCGAGGGAGGGGGGGAGTCGGGATGTGTCCACGTTCCAGGATCGAGCTTCGATGATCGGGAAAGAGACGGAGGAATGTCACGTCGAGGCCCGAGCTTCGAGGGTCGGGGAGGAGACCGAGGTTTGACTCTACCCATTCGGGGATCGAGGTTCGAAGAGCCCGAGCCTTATGAAACGTTCGAGGATCGAGGCTCGAGGATCGAAGACGATATCTCGTTCTGCCGCGTTCGAAACTCACACGTCGAGGATCATCGAGGGTACCCACATTTCGTTGAAATGTCAGGTTCGGGCTTCTCCACCTCCATCTTGCTCAAGCTCCTCCTCTCCTCCATCCTCCTCCTCCGCCTGCTCCTCCTATCGCGCCCTCAGCTTATCCCATCGACCTTCAGGCGTTCCTGTGCTTCCTCCCGACCTTCGAGCGGCCATGCGCCTTGCGGGCCACTGAAGGTCTCCCACAGATACTTCAGCTCCTTTGGGGCGGCGCGAAGCGGGGAGCCCGCGTGGAGATTTCGGCAGAATGCCCGCGCGCGTGCGCTCCATGCTTGCACAACAGCATACTCCGATTGCGCGTGCCGACAAGGGAGTGCACGTGCGCGCGTGCGCGTCCGCGTGCGCGCGCCTTCTAGCCTTACCGTTCGGTCGCCTGGCCTTCGGCGTTCTGGTCATTGAGGGTTGCACATCTTGTCCTCGCCCCCGCACGAGGTGGCCAGAATGCTTTGAGCGTGACCCTCCATTGCCTGCCTGGTGACTGTACCTATCGCAGCCTTGGGGGAACATGTGTGTATGCCTTTATGTACGCGCCCTGACCGAGGGCCACGGTAGCAAAAGTGTGCGTGCCTGACGTCTTGTCGAAAATAGGTTTGCACTGAGCGGGCGGGACAGCTGTGTTAGTCATGCTGGTAGCCAAATTCGAGCCACCATGGCGGCGTGGACAACTATACATGGAGAAACACTTCACGCGTCCAACTTGCTCGGCTGGTCTCTGCGCACTTGCTCCCGCTCTCCCACTCACGCTTGCGGATGCTTTCCCCCAATCATATCCCAATAAGCCATAATAAGCGGCAAGCGAAACTCTGAGCACCGCTGAGAGGGGCTGCACTGCGATGGAGCCGCCAAGTCCTTGGCGACGCTTTTGACCGCCTGGCGGCCGTTGGGCGTATGGGCAGCACTGCTTCGCGCAGCTGCCACTACCACTGCTGCTGCCAGCGCAGCTCAGAACTGCTCAGAATCCCCCTGGTCTTGTCGCACCTCTTCAACTCTCAAATCTTCTGTACTCTGCACGTCCCTCCCTTCCCCACCTCCCGCTCCCCTCCTCTCCCTCCGCTCCCGTCCCATCCCCTTCCGGCGCCTCCTCTTCCCCCTTCTGATCCGGCCCGTCCTTCATCCCCTCCTTCCTTGTCCTGCTTCCTGCTTCCTGCTTCCTGCTTCCTCCTCCTCCTCCTCCTCCTCCTCCTCCTCCTCCTCCTCCTCCTCCTCCCCCGTCCTCCCCCACTCCTCTCACCCATCTCGCTCCTCCCCTTTGTTCCGCCCAACACTCCTCCTCATCCTCGGGCTCCCTACGGCCCCTCATTCTCATTTCTCCTCCCCCGTCTTCCCCTATTATCCCACCCACCACCTCCCGCACCACCCACCTCCTCCCCCATCCACCCTCCTCCTTCTCATCCTCCTCGTCCCCGCGTCCCTCCTCCCTCGCTCCTTCTCCCGCACCCTCTCCCATCCATTAATTGCCCTCTCTGTTGGGCTCAAGCCATCTTGGCCCAAGCCGCTCACCAGCGAGCGACAGCCATGTTGCGATATGGCACGGGGCCGCCGCTGGTGCTGGCGTGGCTGCGGGGGCTGCCCGAATGCGTGGCGGCCCAGCACCTTGCGCACGCACGAGGCTCTCGTCCTCGGGCAGTCGGCCCCGAGGCGTGCGGCGCGCGTCAGGCGCACACGCGCTTGCGAGGCCGCGCTCGGGCACCTCCTCGGCGGCGGCGCATCCGCTCTTGGAGTTTGGCGCGGTCGCGGGCATGCGGAACGCACCGCTTTGCCGCCCGTTTCCCGCCTTGGGCCCCGAGCGCACAGACCCTTCCCAGGGCACGAACCGACAACAAACTTGTAATCAAACAGGCCCGTTCGGCCTGGCCCCGCCTCCCTCGCCCCCTCGATCCTCCCGGCTCCCGGCCCCCTCCTCATCCCCTCCATCCCCGGTCACGCCCCTCATCGCCCTAGAATGCAAAAAGACGCCCTCGAACCGATGCCTATCCCCACTGGCGCGGCTTCGGGCATACTACACCTCCCCCTGGATGGGAACATGAGCTGCTCCCTTCGGGCTTCGAAGGGCATGTCCCCAATTTGGGTGGTGGGGATGGTGGGGCCGAGAGAAAATGCTGGGACAGGTTAAACGATACACACACACACATGCTTCGTGCAGCTGGTCACTGTATGCCAGGTCGTACACACCGCCGCAGCAACGCGGCGTGCGCCACGCGCACCTCCTCTCCCTGGGCTCATGTCTCGCCCCCAGCTGGCTCGTGGCCGCTGCCGCCCTATCAGGATTTCTGGGCGTCCGCTTGTTCGGTCCGTTGATGACGCCTCATTGGTTGAGAATCCTGTGAACGAGTGCGGCCTCGACGAATCCGACTTCTAGCGGCTGCCGCTTTTCGTGGTGCAGCCAGGATGCCCCTTGGTGCTGCTCTGCGTTGTTGTCGTGATCGTGCACGGGATTGTCCTCGAGGCCGTCGGCTTTGCAGGCTAACTTTAGGGGTGTGGCGTCGAGGTCAACAAAGCCCTCCTCCTCCTCCTCCGCCTCTTCCTCCTCCTCCTCCTCCTCCTCATATCTCCTACTCTCCTCTCTACTCTTCATCCTGCTTCTCCCACCTCCTCTCCTCCTCCTGCTCCTCCTCCTGCTCCTCCTCCTCCACCTTTCTCTATCGTCCCCCTGCCCTCCTGCTCACCATCGTTCCTCCTCTCTCCTCCTTTCCCCGCCTCTCTACAACTACGTACCCTATATGAATAATACTCCTTTTGCTCACCCGAAGGTGACTGGGAAGTGGAACGACCGCCTCGGCGTACTGTTCCCAACCATCCTGTGGTGTTGGGTCCTCGTTTCGAAGAGGCAGCGACCTGCGTCACTCCTTCCTGACTCCTTCCTCCTTCATCCACCTTCCTCCCACCCCTGCGCGTCCTGCTCACCCCTACCCTCCCATCCCTCCTCCTATCCCTGCCACTGCCCTCCCCACGACCATTTCAGCAACCCCTCACATGTTTCGTGGCCACGTAGGGAGCTCCACCTAATGCCCCAGCGGCTGGACTCGCATGCGGCTTCCCGCCCCTGTGCACGACTACTTCGGCACACCACTCACACGCTTCGTGGCCTCATAGGGAGCTCCTCCTCATGCCCCAATGGCTGGACTCGCATGCGGCCAGCTCCCCGCCACTCCACACGACCATTTCGGCGCACCCCTCAAACGCTTCGTGGCCCCAGAGGGTTCTCCACTGCCCCAGCGGCTGGACTCGCATGCGGCTCTCCGCCGCTCCAGACGACCATTTCGGCGCACCCATCGCACGTGCCGTGGCTCCCAAATGCCTCCAACTAATGCCCCAGTGGCTGGACTCGAATGCGGCTCACCGCCAGTTTCGGAACACCACTCACTCGCTTCGTGGCCCCAAGGGCAGCTCCACCTAAGGCCCCAGAGGCCGTCCTCGCATGCTCCTGCCCGCCCATCTCGGCACATGCCTTACGCGCTTCGTTGTCGGCCCGCTCATTTCTCGTCCTCCGCCTTCCCCTGGTCATCCTGCTCCTCCCGCTTCTCATTTTCCAGTTCCTCCTGCTGCTGCTTCTCCTCGTCCACATCCTTCCTCCTCCTCCTCCTCCTCCTCCTCTTCCTCCTCCTCCTCCTCTTCCTCCGACTTGCCTGCTCATCCGGCACCTCCCTCTCGACTGTATACGCAGCTCTCCTTTCTCGATTGCGCATGACACGATGGCGTCCTTGTTGGAACTCCATGTCCTCCATGGCACGCGCGAGCGGACAGACGCAAAGGGGACGGGATGGGTGAGGGGTGGGTGGGATGTCAGATATGGCAGGAGCGTGCTAGCTGCCCTCGTTCCTTTCTCCTCTCTCCCTCTTCCTCCTCCTCCTCCTCCACCTCCTCCTCCTCCTCCTCCCTCCTCCTCCTCCTCCTCCTCCTCCTCCTCCCCCTCCTACTCCTCCTCCTCCTCCTCCTCATCCTCCTCCCCCCCCGTCCATCCTCCTCATCATCGTCACCATCACCATCACCATCACCATCACCATCATCATCATCATCATCATCATCATCACCATCATCATCATCATCATCAGCATCATCAGCATCATCATCATCATGATCATCATCATCATCATCATCAGCATCATCATCATCATCATCATCATCATCATCATCAGCATCATCATCATGATCATGATCATCATCATCATCCTCATCATCCTCATCATCATCATCATCATCATCATCAGCACCACCACCAGCATCAGCATCAGCATCAGCATCCGCGGCCGCATCACAGTAATCATCATCATCATCATCATCATCAGCATCAGCATCAGCATCAGCATCATCATCATCAGCATCATCATCATCATCAACATCATCATCATCATCAGCATCATCATCATCATCAGCATCATCATCATCAGCATCATCAGCATCAGCATCATCATCATCATCATCAGCATCATCAGCATCAGCATCATCATCATCCTCATCCTCATCATCATCAGCACCAGCACCAGCATCAGCATCAGCATCCGCATCCGCATCATCATCACAGTAATCATCATCATCATCAGCATCATCATCATCACCATCATCATCAAACTCATCATCATCATCATCATCAGCATCAGCATCATCATCATCATCATCATCATCATGATCATCATCATCATCATCATCATCATCATCAGCATCATCATCATCATCACCTCTCCTCTTCATCTCTCATTCTCCTCCTCCGACTCTGACTGTAGACGGAGGCTACCGACAAACGGGGACGAGGACGATGGCGACAACGACTCAGACGGCGGCGGCGAACACAGGTGGCGGTGGCCTCGGCCTGCGCGGGGCCGAGCACCGGCGGGAAGTCCTGGCCGTGGCCGCGGGTAGTCGGCGGCGCCGCCGCCGTCGCAGCCGCCACCGTCGTTCGCTGCCGCTGCCGTCGCCACCCGTCATCGCCGCCGCCGGGGTCGTCGTGGCCATCGCCACCCGCCGCAGCCGCCGCGCCGCCGCCGTCGTCGCCAACGTTTTGGGGTGCCTCTGTGGGGGGAACAGAGGGCTGTGTGGGGAATTCGGCATGGACCGCGTGATGATAAAACCCATTGGCGATTCGAGCACTTGTATGGTGACGTGGGGGAAGGACGGCCCGGACTCCCCACTGCCCCGGGACAACGGTGAGCTGCAATCTCGCAGCGCTCCACATGGCACAACTAACAAAAAAAACGCCAAGAAGGCTTCGAACACGCACTGGTTCCCCCCGCCAGCTACCACGACCGTGTCGTGAGTACATGGGATGCGGGAACCAGTGTGGACGGACGCGTTGTTACCGCAGCTAGAAACAAGAAACATCGCAGAAAGAAAAAAGCGTGAGGCAAACCGAGAAACGATTGCGCACACACGCACACACACATACGTACACACACACGCACTCACACACACACACACACACACTCACATGCACTCACACACACACAAACACACAAACACACTAACACGCACGCACACACACACACACGCACGCACACACACACACACACACACACACACACACACGCACGCACGCACACACACACACACACACCGCTGCTTGAGGCGTCGCGGCCACGAGCGAAGCGGCGCGGCGGAGGAAAGGTCGGGCAAAGAGACGCGCGTGGCCCGCCCAAATCACGCACACACACACACAC